CAACTCCCAGAATTCCCCAGCCAGCAAAGCTGGCTGGGGAATTCTGGGAGTTGAAGTCCTCCAGGCTTAAAGTTGCCAAGGTTGGACACCCCTGGTTTAAACCATCCACTGTTGCCTACAATGTCCAAACTTGGTCTGCTGTGGCTTTCAGCTACAGTGAGTGGGAATAATCAAGTTATAGTTTGGGATCTGATATACAGAGCTACAGACTATTTTGATGCTTAGGGCAAAGTGTGATTGCTGTAGGGTTAATGAGGAAACCATTCAAGTATTCAATCCATTCTCTCTCCGCAGGGAGATGGCTGGGTTTATTATAACCCTCTCTGGAAAAAGATGCCTGCAGGACAAAATCATGAAGTGGACACTAACTAGATGCATTTCTACATTATAATTCTTCTCTTTTGTCTAATCTGTACAACTTCCAAAATGCTGTATCTTGACTGAATCCTTTTGGATTTTTATACAATTGCACAAAATTAAATAAGCAGAAAAAGAGTAAAACTTTTAGGGCACTTTAAAGTTGTAGGAAATCAAAAGGTAGGAGAAAGGACATTTCTGGCTATGTTTCTGCTCCCTCGTTTAAAAACCAACCACCTTTATTTGGACATTGCCTTTTTAAGCACACTCTGCAAAAGCTGCCTAAGATTTCTTTTAAAAAAACAAAACAAAAAAAACCAACTAACTTAAATGCAGAGGCATTGAGAATTGGCTAGGCTATTTTGCTCCAATGGATATACATCCGGAATAAAACCAGAACAGTGTTTTTAAAATCTCGGGTTCAGTTTGCACCCATATCTGGACTACTTTAGTGCTCCTGTAAAGAGAAGCCACCTTTTTTTGCTGCTTTGGATTACCTTTTGCTGAAAATCATGAAGAGGAAAACTTTTCATAGATCTGACCTTGAAATCAGTGTTATGGGATGCCTGGATCAGAACTTGATACTAATTTTTAAAGTTGTTTCTTGGAGGGCAGTGCGTGCATAGCTGTGGAAGAATGGGGGATTCGTGTAAGCTACGTCATATTTAAAACACTGTAGTGTAGATTAGAATTGTTAAGGGTTTTTTTCCCCCCTCCTGCCTGCCTGCAAAAAAATAAAGTGGAAGAGGAAGATGGGGCAGAGGGTAAAATTCAGACCAATTTCCAGCTGATTTTTTTTTTCCAGCCTCATTTCCTTCCTGAGCTGTTTATAATTGTTTCACGCTGTAAATACCATGAAATTATTTAGTCTCCTTATAAAAGAAAATTGAGACTTGAATTATGCAACATTTTTTTTTTTAAAAAAAAGCTACTTCCTTTATCTCTCTGCCCCTCTCTCTCCTTGCTCCTTGGGTCATCACCAAAAGTGAGTTAGTGTTCTAAGCTGTCCAGGCAGAGTAATTTCCTTTCTGTTCTCTGTTCAAGGTCAAGCATTTGTATGTGCCCATTGAATAGAAGGACTGTACCTTTAATTTTTCTATAGTACCTGAAAAGGCTTGCTTTTTTGCTATGGGGGTGCATACAAAACCAAATGCAATCTGATATCAGGAACCCATGGTCAGGTAAATGTACCCCTTGTTTTTATATTACCAATATTTTATTGAAGTCCAAGAATTGCTGGCAATTAAGAATAGTACTGATTTATGGCTTTCATTCTTATTACTATGAGCTACCTTAATTTTTCTAAGAGTTGTGCCTTACTCTATTTCTTATGATGTAGTCTTCCAATCAGTGTATATATACCATAGTCAACAAAAACAAAACAGCCTCTTCCTTCCATCATGAAAATGTGTGCGTATGTGTGTTTGTCAAGTGCTTTTATTTTTCTTCCATACACAGGGATATATTAGTATATTTAACCACCCAAACGTGGTTAAATAACCACGCTTGTATTCCACAAAGGCTAAAAAGAACTCAGAGGAATGAGCTGCATACAGGTTGATATGCCCTTGTATTTCTTTTTTTTTTTTTTTTCTTTTCTTTTTGTCGTGAAATGCACTGAAGCCTTACTGTGAGTTGTGTATGATACCATGTGTGATTAACGGGGAGGGACGGAAATAAAATGATCAAAAGGAACTTTTTGTTTTCTCTGCTTTAATAATAATGAAGTAATCAGCGCTGATTGTACTTGGAGCTGCAGAGTGTGGATGCCAAGTTTCCTTTTAATTGCGGATACTGTAAGTATCTCTCTTCTTCCTCCCTTAGAAAAACTCACCTGGCAGTTTATGGCGACTCTAGGTAATTGAGATCTTGCAAGCAAGCACTCCGCTTTCAGGATCTTTAGAATTCTGTTGAGTAACAATGTACTTGGAAATATGTGAACGTTCAATGAGAGGTGCCAATCAATGGGGGAAAAAATGTCAAGACAGTTCATAACTTTAAACAAATCTATCCCAAAATAAGTTTCACCAGTTTCCATAGAACTTCATTTTGGTTATGATATACGCATTGCAGACAGTCACATATATGTAAATAACTGAAACTTATGCATGTAGAAAGTTTTATGATGTAATCCAATTGTAACTCAAGCTTTATATCAGGATGATATAAATGAATTCCCTGAATTCACAAGGAAAACTAAGGAACTTGGATGAGAAGGATGTTTGTGCTGAAAAGTCCTAATGGCTGTTTAGGGGACCAGATAAATTGGCTTGAAATAGATAATTTGTTTATGCTTCTTAGATATAGGGTGGGGGGGAGAATTAAAGAACAAGCGATTCACATTTTCTTCAGTTAAAATATGGACTGGCTGTAATGGAGAAAAGATTGTTTCTAAGCAAAATTCACAATGTTACTTCAGGATTGAGCTAACAGATTTAAATTTTGGACTCATATTGGTTGACAGTTTCTTTAAATGATGTAACAGAATGGTTCACAGCAAAGACATTGGGTTAACACATTCCAAGAAGTGATTTCTAAACCATTCCTTTAAACCCATAATGGCGTGGTTCCCACATATGTAAGACGCAAATCATGGCTTTAAAACTGTGATGGTGGTTTTTATATGTCACATTTAAACCCAAAGCCAAACTGTAATCTGGCTTGGTGCATTATCTGAATCTCTATTAAAACTAGGAAATCTGTGATAAGAATTTGGTTATTAAAAAATAAGACCGCTCAGCTTTTACCCTCTTAACTTCTGTAAAGTATTCTTTAGAAAAAAAGATAGACTGGGTCAATATTTAGTCCATCTTGTAGAATTAATGTTTAAGAAGAAAAATGTTTAAAATGCAAAAACAAATGCCTTGTGCATTAATGTATCTGCTTTAGCATGAGTGGTCTTTATTCACACAGCAAGGTTTACCAGTGCAGTAGCCCTTATAGTACCACTTTCCATTCTGCTGATGTGAAATCTGCAGAGTGATTAATTCTTGGAATACTGTTGCATTTCACTACATTTTTAAAAAGTATTAAATGATTAAGATTCTGTGTTGAAGCAAACCTTAATATAATCTAATATAAATGGGTCTTACACATTTTTTATCTGTCCAGGAGACTAAATGATGGGGCATATATTTCTTGGAAGACATGCCCTATTGGTGGTTCTGTCCTGCTTTTATTTCTCTAGTCATTGGATGTTCCTGTCATTATTCTGGTTCTCATCTCTTGAACAACCCATTTTGTTTGCTTCATTGTCGATGCTGTTGTTGTTGAGAATGTCATCACAATCTGTTTGTTCCATCAAGTTGAATCGCTCTGCAACACAATGAGCTGTAAGTCTAGCTTCGGGGTCATGATCCCAGCATTCTGTGATGGTGTCGCACAGAAAATGCATTCCCTGAAATGAACAAGAAGGAAACTATTATGTAACTTCCATTTTAAAGCAAATCATGCTGTAAATCCATAAAAGTAAGATTCCTAGATCTAACTCTTACTGGAAATTTCATGCAGGTCAATTTGCAATATTTAGACATTCTAATTTTATAATGGTAATTTTTTTTAAAAAAAATTATTTGGGTTTTCACAAAAAAAACATAATATAAATAAAACATCTTTTTTTGAAAATAGCATGGTCCTGGGTTATCACTTCTTCATACAGACACAAACTCAATTTCATGCTCATTTTTGTGTTCTCTTCCATATCTTATTACTGTTTTACATTTTCTACATAGTTTTTCCCCTTTTTTAATTTTCTCAACTTTATTTTTGATTATCTTATCTCAATTCAAATCATTATATTTATACTTTTGTCTGTCCTGTTTCAATTTCATATTATCTTTTCTCATTAAACAAATTTTCCCCTGTACTTACTAATTGGAGTATGACACCTTTATATCTTTTAATTTTATCCATTCAACTCTTATTTAAGCTTCAATGTATACCTTTAAGATTATAACATTCAATATAATACATAACATTCCAATCGAATTCTTCTTGGTACATTCTTAAAATACACACTATATTCTTAAAAAAAGATTATATATATATGTAAATAAAGCACTCATTCCATTCCAATTCAATTCAATCATTAATATTCGTTAAAATCTTAACATCTTTAACATTTCTTTTCAATTGAATATCATACTTCCTTGGGAACACTTATAAACTTTCCATAATTAATTATCCCCCCCCCATATTTCTCTTCACTTATGTTTTATAAATCATTAATAATAATTAAAATGTTCCCATCCTTTCCTAATTTAATTCTCTCATTCACTTTATTTCATTTATTTATTAACAAACATTCCACTACATTACGATAAATATTTTATCCATCATTTTAATCATATTTTCTAAAATTATTTCTATTTGTAATATAGCAATACTATCTTATGTACCTTTGCAGAATCCCTTTTACAATTAAGTTTTCACCCATTATCTCTAATCAGGCTTATACTTTCAATTCTTATACTTTTTCCCTGTTTCTCTATATCTTGTTTCTGTCCTTCATAACTTCTTTTCCTTTCCTTCTTCCCCCTCTTCTTCTCCCTCCCCTTTTTACCCCCTTGTCTCTCTACTTCTAATTCTCTCTTCTGTAATCCCCTCTTCTGTTGCTTTCTAATATTATACTTATTTTTCAAACTATTCTTCTTTTTTTGTTTTTTCAAATCTTAAACTTTCATTCTCTTCCCTCTTTCCTCCCCCCCCCCCCCCCACATAAAATTACTTGATCATTAAAGATGGCTTCTTCTTTGTCCCAATCTTCTTGTTCTGCAAGCGTTTCTTGTTGTTTCTCATAGTTCCAGATCTCCATTTCTAAGAATTGAAATACGAAGCCAAAAAAACCTCTCCTTTCTTGTGCATCTTCTTTCCGTTTTTTAAGTTCCATTTTCAGTTCTTCTAAGAGTGATGCCATTTTAAACACTTTTAAACAACCACCCGATTGATTTTAGTTATTTAAATGCAATAACCAAAAATCCAAAAATCACCAAGTAATCCAAATAATCCAAAGCTGTTTCTTCTTCTTTTTTCCACTTTCTCTTCCTGGGGTTCTATTATTTTGTTGCCAAGTTTCAGTTAAAATGTATCTTTTAGGAATCTTGTTGAGGTTTCACTGTAAATTCCTTTTAGTACCAGGCAGTCTCCTCCATTTTTCCAGATCCTGCCCTTTTATTCTTTTTCTCTCCTTTCCTGCTTTTAAAAGCTTTTAAGCATCCAGAAATCTTTATTATCCCTTTGGCATTTTATTTTCAGTTTAAATGCCTATTAATGTCAAAGTGGATTTTTTTTTCAGTTTCTTGCTTAAGTCTCTTAGCTGTCAGTATAAGGAAGGGAAGAAAAAAAACCCAAATCCTTTCCCTTCCCTCTCTCCTTCGCTGCTTCAAAATCTTCTTTGGGAACAATGTTATTTTCTATAGTTTAAATTCCAGGGTACCTTATGTTGTTGCTTTTTCAGTTTAACCCGGTCAACCAAAACTTTCTCTTCTTACCTTCCTCCTGCACATTCTTTTCCAGTTGAGTTCTTCTTTGAGGTGGCCATTTCTGACCACCGCTGCAACCGCCTTCGGGAAAGGGAGTAATGGCCAGCTGAGGAGGAGAGATGCAGCTCTCCTCAACCCTGCTGGCGGTCTCCCCCCTCTTCACCACCTCTATGGGATGGCTTAGCCCCGAAACCAGCCAGCTCGGGGCGCTCCGGCGGCGAGCATGCATCGAAACCACGCACGATCGCAGTTTCGATCCATCGGTGAAGGAACTCAAACCGGAAGTCCAATTTTATAATGGTAATTTTGTGGCTAGGATTTACTCAGAGGCACCATAAATATGGTGGGATGAGTGCATATACAGTAGCATTCATGCTTAATTGTTGCCAAGAGACATCTTGTCCATTGTCAACCTCTCTCCAGTCCCTTCCCTAGTGTAAATTTCCATTTGATAAAACTATAACATTCAACTATTCTGCAAACTTAGTTCCACAATTAAAGCTACAATTTAGTTGAAAGAGCCATATTTTCTTGATGAGAGAATCGCTTGAATTCAAGACTATTCCCTCTCATCCACTCCAAAATCAGCCAGCCAACCTAACAATACAAACAGACCTTTAAATGTCCACCATCCCACCTTGACAATGACAGAACCTCATGTCATTGTCTCCATCCTATCCCCAACTTCCTGCTAAGGCATCCTAAAGTGGTCTTCATTTATTCTGGGTTGGAAATGATGTTTTCTTTTCCCCAATGCAAAATTTCTCACCTAGATAATCTAGGGTGCTTCATTGACAGGTTTGGAGATGACACCTCCAAGACCATGATCTGCACAGGTCCAACTGAACTCATATTTTTCAGTACAGGTTCTTTTGGTTCCTGGATGCTGTAGGAGTCAAGGCTAGGTGGAAAGCACATTATAACCTATACATTATGTTGTGCTTTCCAGTCCATGTGGGTTCCTAGTGACTGCTTGAATTAGTCCCTGCAGTTTTCTTGCCAAGATTTTGTGCTTAAAGTGGGACTAGAAATGAAACTCTCCCAAGTTTATAACCTGGTGCCCTAACCCTTGTGTGCCTCTGTAAAATGATCTGCCTTATAAAATCCTCATGTGTGCATATATCAACTGTTCTGCCTCTAACACACAAAATAGGCATTCAGATACTCTCTGCTTCCTCCTCCTAATAGTACTAGAAAGCATGAAAATAGAAAAGAGTGGTGGCTGCACTGAGAAAGGAAGAAGTGAAACTTGACAGAGATGAAGTAAGGGACACTTTATTTATTAGCAAACATTTAAAATTCAACAGGCAAATAGCTCTTTCGAAGCAGAAAGGCTAATCTTTAAAGGCATCCAAGCGTTAATTCATAGGTACCTGGGGGTTTCCTTTGCTTTTCAAATCTTCAGCTGCATGAAGGGACTCTACTAGTCCCTACTGAAAAATAAAAGTGATGGAAAGAGAGGATAGTTTTGAAATAACAGAAAATTTTTTAAAAATGAAGTAATAGCTGTGCCTCACAGAATTCTGCACTCTAACTTTAAAAAGTGAGTCTTTGTACGAATAGCTAATTTTAGGGTAGAATTTTTACAAAAAAATCTAGCCCAGATGGTGAGGTGATATGGATTACTTAATTTTTGCAGTTGCATATAAGAACAAGAGAATGGTAGCAAAGCTGTCTCTTGATCAGTTATTGTAATCAAGGCAAGTTTTCCATTTTCTTCCTTTTCAAACTGCACTTCTTCATTTTGCTTGCTGAACACAGGCTCAAACTATCCTAAGTTCCTGTCAAAGATAACAGCTGGATATTCCACCTTCCCACTGTGATGTCCAGCACAACTTATCCATATCCTGCTATCAGGACAGACCATGTTTTTCCCACTTGGATTATACCCAGGTTCAACCTTGCAGATACAGTGCATTCAGACAGTATTCAAACCCCCTTCGCTTGTGTCCATTTTGTTATGCTGCAGCCTGATTCCATAGTTGTTGAAATTCAATTTTCCCTCTCATTCATCTACACTCAGTACCCCATAATAACAAAGTGAAAACAGAAGTTTAGAAATGTGTGTAAATTTATTAAAAAGAAAAAAATTGAAAAATCACATCGACATACTTCTGTTTTTTTTCCTTTGGGGGGTACTATGTGTAGATGAATGAGAAAATGAATTTCAACAACTGTAGAATCAGGCTGCAGCACCACAAAATTGACAAAAGTGAAGGGGGTCTGAAGACTTTCTGAATGCATAGTAAGTAGGAATCGCCTAAATCTGGTGCTGCCATTTTCATAAGTGTTAATACTGTATTTTAATTGCAAGATGCCACAGATGACAGATTCCAGATGATAGTTAAAAAGAACAGAGCCTGCTTTACAGCTTTTATATTTCATGTTTCACAATAATGTTAGCATAACTTAAGCTGAAACAAAAGGCTTACTAAAGTATCATTTTGCAATGACCAAAATTCCCTGTATTGTTCATTTGGCAGTCAAATTAAGGGTAATACACAAAACATACATAGAAGAGCAATATGCAGTCATAACTTGGTATAATCCTGTACGTTATCTTTTATACATTTTGATTCAGTAGAGTAAATTAGGGTTTAATAAGGCAGGATTTTTATCTAGTGGCTATTTCTTGACAACATAATTTCAGAGGACATCCAGTATTGCATTTGGCGCCATCTATTAAAGCTGAAAGATGTACAGTGGATTCCATCAACTTAAACTGAAAATGAGTGTTTTGAATGCCCACCTGGGTTTTAAAACATTGAACACACAGGGCACCTTTTTTCCTCTACAAATAGAAAAATAGCTATAAAAATTATTTGAGAAAGTGAGTATTCAAAAAAATTGAATCTTCCCAGAGTTGTCTAAATCAGGGGTGTCCAACCTTGGCAACTTTAAGACTTGTGGACTTCAACTC